AAATTGGACATGGGTGACTTTTTCCCCAATACAGTTGATTTTTAGGTCAACTATCCAATTGACTGATCAAAAATGTGATTCAAGGCTTGAAACTTGGCATGAGTAATCTTGGGGGTCCATAATGATCCTTGAAAGTCATATAAAGCATTTATAATCCAAAAATCCTTGTGCAAACTCAAACCCTAATTTTGTTCATCAGTGCATGAGGAGGTGTCTTGAGTTGGTCAAACCCTAATCCAGTCTTGAGTCAAAGAGATCTTGTGAGGAAATTCTTGATAAGTGAGAGGGAAATTTTTGGGGTACAATACCTCCCTCCTTGCATTGCTAAATACCGAGGCTATTCCTCGAGGCTCTGGCCCGACCTAGGATAATGACGGGTCGGTGATGGTGTCGACTAAGTGGACACCCTCGCCGACAACACTCATTTCGTTCATCTCGACCTGCTCGCTTGTCTCGACTAGTTCGATCATTTCACCAGTAAAACAGAGGAAACCGGTAAATTTGACAGCTAAATTAAATCCACCCTTCCACCCCAACACAAGTGAAAGAGGGTTGCTACGACCAAACCAGATCGACGAACCCTTCTTTAGTAAAAGCAAACAAACTCGTGAATGCCACGAGGAGAATATAGATCTCTCGAGCAACCTCATGAACGCCACGATAAAAATGTGAATCTCTTGAGCAAACTCATGAAGGTGACGAGGATAAGATGAATCTCCCGAGAAATCCCATTAACATTGCAAGGAGGGGATGGATTCTCCGAGCAATTTCATGAGTTCTGCGGAGAGTGGATGAATTTCACGAGCCATTTCGTGAGTATCACAAAGAGAGTTATGAATATCCCGAGTAAAAATCCTCTGAGAAGTGAAATCCATGAAATTTGTCAAAAACCCAGCTATAAACAAGAGTAATCACTGAAAAACACTTAATTATGGTTGGTAGATTTTCTACAGCGGAAGCTACAACGATACTCACGGTTAGAGAAGGAAACTAAGGGAGGTAGAAAACTGAGGACAATAGGGATAAAGGAGAGAACGAGAACTTGGAAATGTTACAAATGAGTCCTTAGGCGCTATTTATAAGCTTGGCATGGAAGACGAAGCGTCGCGTCAAACAATGTATCAATTATTCGTCTCTTTGCCACCCACGCGTTTAGGGTCATAATGACCCTATATGACCCTTATTCCCTAGGCCATCATTCTATCCCAAAAGTTACACCATGCCGCTTACGAAGTAAACATCCTGCGAACTTTCATCTCCCTACGAGTCAGGAGAAGATAAATTTTCTCCGTAAACACACTCCGAACTCCACTCAAGTAGTCGCGACCAAAAGCTAAACCACATGGATTACGAAGTAAACATCCTATGAACTTTCGTCTCTCCGCGAGTCGAGGAGCATATAAATTTTCTCCGTGAACACACTACAATCTCCACTCGACTAATCGCGTATAAAAACGACCTCATCCCTCGACGTAATGGGGGACCCCGACGAAACTATGCTCACCATACGGAGAAGATGGTCTTAAGTCATAACTAATTTCCTTAGAAGCAGCAAATTGGGGGGGCTCTTGTTCTGGATTGGGTCTGCACTTGGCCCAAACATCATACAAAGCCCAATCCAACTATGTGACAGAAGAAAACCATCAAGAGAGAGTATGCCCTTAATCATGTGGGGCAGTGATTCCACTCCTCTCGTCGACTAGGATATGTCCTCCAGGGACAACCTCACGATATGATTGGCGAGGAGGACCAATGACGCTCAAGAGGTCCTCGCGAGCACCCTCCTCGTAGGGAAGGCACCCAATGCCCCTGAGTGTCACAAAGTCTTCTTGACCCTAAAAAGACCGCATCCACGTCCTCTTGATAATTAAAAGAAGTCCATTCAGATTGGAGACCACGTGCTGGTCTCCACTACACACGTAGGACCTAACAGTCTCAATTTTGGGCCTGCTTGATCAACCCAACAATGGGGACCTTGGCTCAGCGTTGGAAGCTATAAATACCCTCTCACTTGAGAGGGTCAGGTATTCATTTATTCACCCATACTCTCACACTTTACTTGCACTCATTCTGAACCATACTTTGACATTAGAGTGTCTTGCAGGTACCCCTACTTCACATTCAACCACTGTTCGACTTAAAGCTCGCTAACTTTGACAATCTCTTCTGATCAGGTACAATAAAATACCAATACCATTATTTTCAATGACTCACATTTATGCGCGTTTAAAATAGTAAAGGAGTTATTAAGCTAATCAAATATATTTAATATTTAATTTAAAATATTTTTGCTATTAATCTTATATCATATATATTTGATATAATTGTATAAAAAATCACAAGAGAATATAACAAATATTTATCATTAATAATATAAAGAAATACATGATACAAATATTAAGGTACTATTCCTTTTTACAAAATAAAAAATAAATACTTAACTAATATATTAATATATTTTTGCGATATTATTTTCTAACCTACAAAAAGTATCAAAGTAATTTTTTTTCCCTTTCAAACTTCTAACTTTAAGTATTATAAAAATAATAAAACAACAATTTAAAAAATAATAAAATTCTCTAAAATGAATGTATGATATACATAAAACTTATCATTTTTATACCTATTTATTACAATATCTCTATTTTTGTTTCTTCTATTTTAAAATATAATATATTATCTAAAATTATAAATACTATAGTATATTAACATAAAATAAATAATATTAAACTTTACTTATAAATGAGAATATAAAAAATATTTTAATTATTTAAATGTGTTTATTTTATAATATATATATATATATATATATATATATATATATATATATATATATATATATATATATATATATATATATATATATATATATATATATATATATATATATATATATATATATATATATATATATATATATATATATATATATATATATATATTAATTTTAAGTTATAATATATACATATAAATATAATATATTATAATATAAAAATTAGTTATAGTTTCCCAAGCGATCTAAAATAAATATATAAGTAATGTATGAATTAAATAGTATCAAAATTATATTATCATATAAAATATTTTTAATTATTTTATGATCACAAAAATAAATTAATCTTTATAATTTCAAAAGATATAAGACATTATTCCATTTTAATTAAAACCATTATTATTGATACTGATTATTGCAATTAATTAAAAATCAAATATTTAAATATACTATTTACAGTTATACACAACACAAAAATAATGTAAAAGAATAAAAAACTTATTTTTATGTACAAGAATTTTTTTGTCATTAATATAATACGCACGTATATTACTGATAATAAATTATTGATTTAAATATTGAACAATAATGAAAACAATTTTAACATTGATTTAAAATTTTTTATAAATATTTTCAAAACAAAAATATTTATATATTGAAATCATTATAATATTGATTCAAATGTTTTTATATACAAAAGAAAAGAAAGTATAGAAATCAATTTATGATCTTTTTTAAAAATAATAAATTATTTTAGTTAGACAATTTTATTTTTATTTTTTATTATATTTTTTAAAACAAATGCGTGTAACACACCAGTATCGTATAAACGCACAAGTAACCATATCAAAATCCGTGCGAACGTACGTGTTATTATATTTTTTTTTATAATTAAAGAATATAAAAGTAAAAATAATGTATTAATCCAAACACGAGAAAAATATATTGTTTTTTAATTATTTTTGTATCTAATATTTTTATTTTGAAATTTTTTTAATTTAAAATACAATTTTTTTAAAGATAATATATAAAAAATTAAAATATGTATTATTGATGTAAACTAATATTGGTAAAAGAATTTTTCTATTTATTTTTAAATATGTCTTTTTTTAAAAATAACATACTATTTTGGTAAAAGAATTTTGTTTTTCTTATTTACAATTTGATTACATTTTAGAAATAAATGTGAGTACCACATCAACACCCGTGTGAACTCACGAGTAATGATATAGTACACGTATATGGTATTGATATTAAACTATTGATTTAAATATTAAATAATAATGACAATACATTTATTATCGATTTAAATATTTTAATAAATAATTCTAAAACAAAAATATTTGTATATAAGATTAATTATATTGTTGACTCAAATATTATTATATAAAGAAGAAAATATAGAAACTGATTTATTATCTCTTTTAAAAATAATAAATTATTTTGATTATATAATTTTATGTTTTTTTTTTCATTTTATTTTTTTAATTTATATTTAAATATATTTTGAAAACAAACGTACTACTCCTGTACCTATACAAATGCATGAATATCTCACAAATAATAATAATAATAATAATAATAATAATAATAATAATAATAATAATATTATTTAATGAAAGTTATATGTCTCTTTTATTTTAAAACAACCTTAAAAATTCATCAAAAAATTAAACTTAATGAGAAAAAATTTATATGACATATTTATGTTTAATTTTGGTATTTTAGGTCGTTTACGAAACTAGTCATCTATTTTATATTCAAATAATTTTGGTATCCACTCTCAATTTTGCATGTATAATATGTTTTTTATTTTATAATAAAGTGTCCTTTGTGGAACGTGACATTTTAACATATATATAAATTTTTATGTAACATAACACATGAATAACTGAAGTGACACGTCATTGTAAATAGACATGTAATGTATTTTGGGTGTAAAATAAATAAGAGAACGGTAACCGTTTGAATAAATAGAATATATGTTTAGTTTCTTCATTAAAACGATCATAAATATTCATTATTAAACTAAATTATAGTTTTTTTAGGAAAATGTTGATGGTTATGGATATTAATATTATGTATTTAAAAAACTACTATCAGTCAAAGATATATTAAATTTAAATCACTCTAAATTATAGTTTTAACGGAAAGGATAACCATGAAGAGATTTAGAGGGCTATAAATTAAGACAAAGAAAAGTCTTGTAAGTATTGTGTTTCTAGCTATGGATGAACTAAATACAATATTTATAAAATTCTCAATCTTGCTAATTGTAATAGTTTCACTCGAGACTAATGTGACTTCAGTAAAAGTTATAATTATCAATGATATACAACCAAATCCATCTCCTACGGGTTCCATACCACTCTATCTTCATTGTAAATCTAAAGATAATGATCTTGGATTTCACACATTGGGCATATTTGGACAAAGTTACCAATTTTCCTTCAATCCATCATTTCCTGTTATCAAAACTACATTATTCTTCTGTAGTTTTGCATGGCCTGAAAGCTCTTTGCACCATTATCTTGATATTTACGATTATGATAGAGATTCATGCACTGAATGCATATGGAAAATAAATAAAAATGGGGGTTCTATGTTTGGAGTATTTCATCCTTGGAAAAGTATTGGATTAATGGATAGGAACAGTACATCCATGGTGTAACTTTCTTGTGTTTCTACAAATTTAAATAATACAAATAAAATTTATCTATCTTTTTTTATTTGCCTGTATCTTTATTTTTTTAATTATAAAACATGTAATTAAATCTTTCAATATTTTTATTGATATAAATATTTATGTTCAGAAATTTAGTTTGAACATAAAATATTAAAATATTAAATTGTTAACTTATAAAGAAGAAAATCAACTTATATGTAGTGCATTTTTCTCAGAGATGTTAAAAGAAAAATGATAGTTTTTTTTAATACGCAAAGCTTTATTATAACCTCAGAAAAGACTACAAGAGATACTTCAACCGGAGGCTACAAGAAAAACAAACCAAATTCTTCTTAAATTTAGCAAAGAAGAAGATTGGTATACTATAAGTTAAAATTACAATAAGCTGATAAAATTTTATTTATGCTAATCCATCTGCAAGACTTGAGCTTGATTACCGACATACAATCAAAAAAGCTAAACACCTTGTTATTGAAGACTATGTTATTCTTTATTATTTATAAATTTCAAGCAATCGCTAACCAAATTACTCCTGATATAGCTCTCTTCTCTTTATCCTTTATCCTGTGATGATTTTGAAGGTAGGATCTGAAATTCTCATTAGAGATAGGTAGGGAATCGCCAATCCAACAACAAACATGATTACAAATTCTCCTAGACAACTTACAACAGTCAAATGAATAGTTTAATGTTTCCTCATGTCTAAAATTAAAGACACGGCTCTTATCTTTACTGTTCACCAAGACTCTTCTTTTGTTAAGATTATCTCTAATAGATAATGTTGGTGTAAGCGCTAGAGGTCAATGTTTTTAGTATTTGTATCGAATTATTTATTATAATAAAAGACATTTCTTTATTATGTTTGCTTTTCCAAGTCCCTAAAATAGTTCGTCAATGTTAAGTGTGACTTAATCATGAGATCCCATTAAATATAAGGACACTATTCTTAAAGTATATGTAGTCAACTTTATTGCAAAGTATAATAACATTAAAGCATTGAGATTATTATGTAGATAGACTGATTATCACATCTCATGGATCATGGATAAGGAGTTATCAAGTCTTGACATATGTATGAATATCAGGAGTAATATTTATACTGGATTGACCCGCTATGAGAATACTATATAGAATATTATGCAAGGTGTCATAAGTTATTCTCATGGTGATAATGGTGTATACCATCCTTCGACCTGAAACCACTATGGACCATAGATGTAGAGTTAAGTACTATATTGTTTATCAAACGTTTATCCGTAATTGGATGATCATAAAGACAGTTGATGAATACTTCACAAAGCATTTCGAGGGACATGAGTGACATAGATGGAATTTGCACATCCTGCATAATAGGATAAATGTCTAAGGGTCTAATATTAAACTGGACAAGAATGACACGGTCTATGCCTTATATTCAATATAGACATAAGGGCAAAAGGGTAATTGTACAAACAAATATTATCACAGAAAGATTTTTTCATATCACATGACATTTTTGTGATTTAAATAGCAGTGATGTGTTGCTAGATACCACTCACTGTTTATTATGTTAAATGTGCGATTTAATATAATTGTCAACGATGCAAAAATCTGCAGAGTCACACACATAAGAATAAGTTGATGAGAGATTGAGTAAATAAAGAACACCGTAAGATACGGTGAACTTAAGAGAATTATAGAACACCGTAAGGTACGATACGCTTAAGTGGAATAGGCAATATGGTAAGGTACCGCACGCTTAAGTGATACACGGTACATCATAAGGTATGATGCCAATAAGCTTAATTGGGCTTTTAGCTTGCAGCCTTAATTGGGCTTTTAGCTTACAGCCCACATAAGTGGTTCTATAAATAGAACTCTTGTGCTGAAGCATTTTCACTTGATGAAACTTCGGTCTTGAAATCCTAGCCGTATTTTATCTCACTCTCCAATTCAAAGTTTTCATTCATAAGTAGCTAGCACTGTGACCGAAAGCAATCTGTTCGTGTGGACTGAGTAGAGGTGTCTTTCTTCATCAACGCTCGTGATCACAACATCAAAGGTCTGAATCGCCACAAGAGATAATTGTTTCTATCACTGACTATGCTTATTCATAAGGATCACTAAAGGAAAATTTTAATTTCCGCTGCATTTTAGATTGCAATTTTCCTTCAGGTAATCTATCCAACAAAAATCTCCACCCAAACAATTTGATATTGGATGGAACTTTCAATTCCCAAATCAAAGCCAAACAGTTTTTATGATCTATCTCTATAGATGTTAATTCCTAAAATATAGGATGCTTCACTCAGGTCCTTCATAGAAAAGCATTTCCCTAGTAGTGTTTTCACGCGTTACAAAGGTAGGGGTATTGTTTCCAATGGGTAATATAGTATCTATATATAATATCAAAAAGACGGTCATTCTACCACTTGTAAGTTTGAGAGTGCGTCTAAGAGGAGAGTGAATTAGGTACTTTAAAATTTTGGTTTTTAGACACAAGTTGTTCTTATTTTTCTGGTTTGGTGCAAGAGTTAGAAAGCAATCAAATAAATAAAAAGTAAATAACACAAGAATGTATCATAGTTTCCTTCATAATCCGAAGGTACGTCTAGTCCTTTTGCGACACGAAAGAGATTTTATTATTGTTAGATCTCTAGACAAGACATACTTAGCCTTTCTATACCAAAATTTAACCAATAACTAAGGCAACAACACCTTAAACCAACCATGTTGAAATGAGAACAATCCTCTCAAAATTGACTCTCTTGCTTCCAACAATCCTGGACAACAAGGTATACAAACCAAACAAGTAGAAAAAAAATAATCATTTCTTTTCCACTCTCTTATTTCCAACAATTCTGGACAACAAGACATACACTTCACACAATCTTAATTCCATCAATCCTAAAAAAATAAGATCTGATGCAACAAGAGTATTTGAATAAGTAAGTTTGTAGTATACAAATCCTATGAAGGACTTCTTCTCTTTCAATATGAAACATAATAACACAATATTCTCTTATGTGCTCAAGATACTTTATGAATATGATATTAAAATGTTACTAAAAAAAATATTAATGTATGAAAATTATGTTAACGAAATAAAGCAGAGAGTTTTTGATAGTTTTTGAAAGAGGTGAATAAAAATTGAAACTTTGAATTCAATTTATAGCAAAGTTAGAAACCATTCAAAATCATGGCAATGGTTGATAGAAATTCGGAATTATTATTCTTGAAAAGATATATTGATTTCCATGAAAAGTGATGAGGAATTGCTGCAAAAAAATAATATATTTTTCACTTCTGCAACCGATTGCACTAAAACAACAATTGATTGTACAAATTGCCAACGTTAAAATATTTGAAAAAATAACTGATGACAATCAATTGCACAAACTGCCAACGTTAAAATATTTGAAAATATGATTGGTGACAATTGATTGCACAAATATGACAATCGATTCCACTATGTAAAAATGTGAAAAATGTAGCAGTGAGTGGTGCAATCGTTTTCTTAAAAACACCAATCAATTGTACTTTTAAAAATATTGAAAATATGTGTTTGCTGAGTTTTTTTGTGCAATTGATTGCACAAAAACTGCAATTGATTGCACTTTCGAAAACTTGCAATTGATTGCACAAAAAGTACAACCGATTGCACTTTTGAAAACTTTGAAATTTTTCTAAGTTAAAATCATGAATCATGTAAGTCTTCAACTTTTTAAACAAGAACATCAATCTAATTTCATAACATATTTTTCACGTGTTATATTGATGAATTAAAATGTTTGAGCACTAAGTTTATATGTGTTAAGAGTTTCATATACCTTAACACTTGTTTGACCAAAGCTTTGCAAATTAGAACATGTCTTCAATCTTTTTCTTTCTTCTTCTTTGATATATGTACATGGTCTTGAGAGATTTAAAATTGTCTTCATCAAAACACAATATTAGATAAGCTTGATTTCACAATCTCCTCCTTTTTTATGATGACAAACATTGAAAAATGCTTGAATCTCTTAGAAAATTTTGAGAAGCTTTTAAGTGAATGCTCCACATAAATTTGATAACTCTCCCTTGATCAAATCTCTCCCTTGATCAAACCCCTCCCTTGATTCATAGAGAATTTGACTTCCTTGTGGCTGCAAAAGTTAGAGACAAGCATATACATACACATATATCTTCTCCCCTTTGTCATTAGAAAAAAGGAAGGGGAAAAGATGAAATATATAAAGGAATTATGAAAATATTATTAATTATTTTACCTATTAGTTTTACCTCATGGGTGGCTTCATCAAACATTCATCCTTGATGAACATGATTTGAAGCCTTTGTCACAAAGTTGGCTTATTCCTTGAAGAAAGTACATCTTCAATGAATATGAAAGGTGATGCTCCAACTTTTCCTATGTCAATAATTTTTTATTTATTGTTGTCCCTATAAATGACATAACCCTTGAACTTTAGAACTAGAGATGAAAATTAGTTTATGTCTCACGTCAAAAGCTTAGAATAACCATATATCAAAATACCATAGATTTGAAGTGGTCTTCAAGAAAACCTACAAAACAAATTAAGTTTTGTTTGATACCTAATGTTCCTCTTCTTCTTCATCATAGGAATGATATGTTTCTATCAATGCAAGACTTACACGTTTTTCATCTGAAGATGAACTTATTTTATTATCATCGCATGCTACATATGCTTTCTTTGGTCTTTTGTCCTTCTTTTTTTTAAGTACTTATTCTTATTTACAAGTTTAGGGAATTCACTTTTAACATGTCATTTTTTTCCATATTCAAAGCATGTAACCTTCCTTGTTGGTGCTTCCCTTTTAATGATGCCCTTTTTCTTTCTTTTCTTAGAAATTTTTCAAATTTTTTGATAAGATCATCATCTTCTTACCTAGTGAATTCATCCTTTTGATTGCTATCATGATGTTTGACTCTTGTCTTTAAGGAAATGTCTTTTTAATCTTTTAGTTGAATTTTATTATTTTCAAGT